AACTGACTGAATGGGAGAAGATATTCACTTATGGCACATCTGATAAGAGGTTAATATCCAAAATACATAAGGAACTCATACAACTCAACAACAACAACAATAACAATTAAACTAACAATCTAATTTAAAAATAGGCAGAAGACCTGAACACATATTTCTCCAAAGAGGAAATACGAATGGTTAATAGACATATGAAAAGATGTTTGAGGTCACTAATCATCAGATAAATGCTAATTAAAACCACAATGAGCTATCACCTGACACTTGTCAGAATGGCAATCATAAATAAATCAAAGAACAAGTGTTGATGAGGATGTGAAAAGGGAACCCTCATACACTGTTGGTGGGATTGCAAATTGGTACAGCCACTATGGAAAACAGTTTAGAGGTTTCTCAAAAAATTAAATATGGATATACTTTTTGACCCAGCATTGTACTTCTGGGTATTTATCCAAAGAAAACCAAAACAATAATTCGTAAAGTTCTATGCATCCCTATGTTCATGGCAGCACAATTTACAATAGCCAAGACATGGAAGCAACCTAAATGTCTATCAACGGATGGCTGGATAAAGAAGTTATGGCATATATATATGGCATATATATATATAAATATATATATATGCCATAACTATGGCATAACTATATATATATATGCTACATATATATACACAGTGGAATATTACTCACCCATAAAAAATGAAATCTCACCATTTGCAATGACATGGATGGGCCCAGAGGTTATTATGCTGAGTGAAATAAGTCAGACAGAGAAAGTTAAATACCATATCATTTCACTTATATGCAGAATCTGAGAAAAAAACTAATCAAAAACAGACTCACAAATATAGAGAATAATCTGGTGATGGCCAGAGGGACAGGGAATAGGGTCCTGGGAGAAAGGAGTGAAGGGTTAAAGAAGTACAAATTAGTAGTTGATAGATGGTCACGGTATGGGGAGCACAGCATAGGGAATGCAGTTGCATTAATGTAATGGCTAGGTGGAGAGCCAGAGGAGAGAAAGAGCAATTAGGGTGATCGTTTTATAAACTACATAAATGTCTAACCAATATGCATTATACTTGAAACTAATAATAAAATAAAATTTAAAAGAAAAAGAAAAACTTTCTAAGAAGATTAATAAATCTAAAAACTGGTTTCTTAAAAAACTAAAAACTTAAACACTAATGGAAAAAAACTTCTTCATTGGTTATACAAAGAATGCACACATACAAAGTTTACACACTTCCAAGGCTACCCCCCCTTTTTGTTACTAGAAATTGGGGTGGGGTCAGGTGAGGTGGGCAGCTTCATACAGACCACTGGCAGCCAACTTCAAGACATATCTTGGATGTTGGTGTTTTGTCTTTTTGGTTGGTATGTGATGAAGAAGGTTCTCCTTAGCCATTCAAGCCACATAACAACCTGCCTTCCATCACCTCATCAGCTTCTCAGTCTCCTACTCTCTTTCTCTTACATTTTCTCATGCAGTTTATCATTTAGTTTGTCATGCATTTCTCTCCTGTGTTACTTAGACATCTCAAAACATCCATGCCCTTAGTAGCTTAAGCAAGATGTCACACACACATGCATGCACATGTGAACACACACACACACACACACACACACACACACACACACACACACACACACACACACACACTAGTTCTTCCTCAAAGATGAACTCTGGGGCCAAGGTAATATACCTAAGAGCATTTCTTTCACTTCAGGATGGATGCCATAGCCGGGAGCGAGTGCTGCTGGCATGGTTCTTCCCTGCACCAAGTACCTACTGCCCATCCTGCCTGGGATCCCAGGGCAGGAGAGTAGACACAGGCTAGAGGCAGATGTTCCACTCAAGAATTGGTCATCTTCCCGATATCTCCTGGCGTGTAACTAGACAGCCCAGGTAGGGCAAAGGCCTGGGTCCTTTGATCCCGGATTGGAGAGAGTGCCTACCTGAATCAGATTGTGCTTCTGGCCCTTATTCTTCATCATCACAGTGTTCCGCCACTGCAGGTACTTCTCTTGGTGGGCAAGGATCTCACAAGTGAGGGTGGAATTCCGACTTCGGAAGTCCTCAAGATTGGGGGCAGGATGAGGTGGTATGGCCAAAAGTTTTCCATCTGTAAGTTCTTCTTGTGAAATGGGCAACCCAAACTCTTGGCTCAAGTCTTTGATCATGGTGGAAGAAGGCAGCAGGTCTCTTGTGATTACCTCCCTGAGCTTGGTGCTGTGATGGCAGATACAGTAGATTCTAAAAAACAGAAGAGCAACCTTACTCAGACTCACGTACATTGCAAGATAGGTCAAGCCATCTCCATTTTACAAGAGGAAATGAAAGCTCAGAGAGATTGATTATTTGGTCCCAGGTCAAAGAGCTTGTATACAAGGAGCTTAGAGTCAGTCAGTGAGCCACAAAGGGGAAGGCCTGCTTCTCTCTGTCCTCCCAGCCCACAGAAGTTAAAGGCTTCTTACCTCCTGCTCTGATTATTTTTCTGCTACTGTGGTCTTATTCCATGCCTCTCACCAACTACTGGGAAGAAGCCCCAACAAACTGGCTGTCAAGGGCATTGATTTCGGAGTTCCTGCTCCAAGAGGAGGGTGTTATGCACACAGCTTCATATCTTAACACAGATCAAGGACTGAGTGGTCATGCCTTCTTCCACCCCAAGGACTCCCCCTCATTGCCTTTTCATGCGGTATAGTGTGCATCAGGCACTTGATTCATTCTGATGCCCTCGAAAATATGTGTGGGGTGTTATTTTTGCTGCTTGCTGTCTCTGCTGCTTCTGAGGTCTGATGTGAGGTGGATGCCTAAAGATAGTGAACTCTGCTTCTCTGCTTCTCACTAGCTGAGTACCCTGAGCAACCAACTTGGCCTTTCTGAACTTCTGTTTCCTGACATTTCAGACAGGAATAAATTAGCCATAATGGATATAACTACCTAGGATGCAGAGAGCACTTAATAAATAGCAGTTTTTTCCCCCTTCTTCTAATAGAATCCTCCAGCTACTTTCTATCATCCACTAGGAGGGGCAGGGTCCACCCTCCTGCAATTGACTACCATGGCTGTGAATATCCAAATGCTCCTGTACCTCTCCAACATGAGCCTCCTGCTGTGTCCCTTCCTCACTTGCAGCTTTGGCTGCTGTTTTGAGGTTACCCAATTTGTACCTGCCCAGTCCCTTGGGTAGAGGAGTGCATGGAGGGTTAGGGAATAAAAGAAAAGCCTCCTTAGCTCTGACTGAGTTTTCTTTTTCCACATCCCTCGTATTCTCTTCTTTTCTCTCTCTCTTTTCTGCCTTTACCCTCTCTTCTAGGTCAGATCTATTGTTGGCTTTAAAAATATAGATATTTTATACCTCTTGCCCCAAACTGGCAGCAAATGGATTGTACATCTGCTGTTTCTCAAGGTTAGCCTTTCCTGATCTTCTGAAAGAACCAGCCACTGCCCTTTACTGCACTACTGAGTCTGGCATAGACTAGCTATGGTCTCAGTGTACCTCACTGCACTCTTCTTTGTCAGTCTTCACCTCTATACAGGGTCTGCTTCTCTTGGTGCTCCTCTTACAGTAGGCACTAGAAAGCGGCCATTCTATACACAAATGGAGGAGCTCCACAGGAAAACATGAGCAGAGCAACCCAGAAGGAGTACACAGCTTCCCAGTGCTTGCCACTGAAGGTCTGGGAGTTCACTAGCATTGGAGCAGAAGAAACAGCACAGGCAAAAGGGTGCAAGCAGTGCAAGATCCAGATATTTGGAGAATGGTTTTCTGAGGAATAGGGAGAGAGGGTGGAGCAGGAGATTCAGGGAGAAGCAGACAGAAAAGCAAACAATTGATTGAGCGAAAAAGCTTTGTTAGCCTGGTAGATCTTGCGTATTCAGTCCTTACTGTTTCCCTATAATTAACTGAAAAAATGGGTTTCTCACTGCTCAGGCTATTCTAGGCTATTCCCCAAGTACAGCAGATAAAGTCATGTGACATGTGTTTGAATAAACTATCTTCATTTCACCAATATGTTTCTCAGACTCTCTTGAGAGAACATGTGGAATAGTGGGAATGTTATAGGCTTGGGGTCTCTTGAAACTGCACTCTACTTCTGGCTCAGCTTCTTTGGGCATAAAGAATAATAAAAACAGCATCTCCAAAGGACACTCTGCTGCCCACAATGGCCACCACAAGGCAGGCTGGCAGCTTCTATTCCTGTAGCAGTCTGGGGAGCACACCTGGTCAGGGCCTGGAAAGCCTTCTGTGGCACTGAGTTGCGAATGTAGAGTGCTGCGTGCTTCATGAGCTGTGACAGCGGCTTGAAGAGGTGCACGTGGTACAGGATGGTCTCAAGGTCTGCATAGAGGCGGTGTTGAAACAGCAGCTGAGAGTTGTAGAGCACCTTGTATTTCCCATGTTCTGATTTGGTAATTCTGCAAGAGAAGGCCACAGGACAGGGCCTTAACATTGCTCTGCAGGCTCTTGGAATACTGTGTGATTTAGCTCTGGTTGGCAGGGCTTTTGTACCTTTAAAAATGCTGAAACCAGCCTTGACTTGCCCATGCCCACTGCCTTCCCCTAATCCTCCCCTAATTCTCATTTTGCATGCTGGCTATACCAGCCTGGCAATTTCTAAACACACCCTGCTATGCCACCCCCTGTGTTTGGCACATGTTGTTCTCACACCTTGTTGAATCTGGTGAAGTCTACACATATCCTGCATAACCTCCTGGTGGATCTGTGTGTTTTGGAGATTCTTCTTTCATGAAGTATGTGTTCAAGTCTTTTGCTCATTCTTCTACTGGGATGTTTTTTGTTATTTTCTTATTGATTCACAGGCATTTTTATATGTTCAGCATACTAGCTCCACACATTGCAAATATTTTTTTTTCTGCTTGTGGCCTGCGTTTTCACAATTTTTATGGTCTCTTTCAATGGACAGAAGTTATTAACTTTAATATGACCAAATCTATCATTCTTTTCCTTTATTTTTTTGTACTTCTATCTTACTCAAGCAATATTTCTTTATTCTAAGGTCATGAATATATTCTTCTATATTATCATCTAAAACCTTTACAATATTACTTTTCAAAAATAGATTTTTTTTTCTGGTGAAATCTGAGTAAGACCAGGTACTCGTGGTCTAGTTAATTGTACTGTCCACAAATAAGGCATGTCAGATGTCACCATTGAGAGAAACTGAGTATTGGGTACATGGGACTTCTTTATAATATTTTGCAACATACTATAAGTCTACAAGTATTTAAAATAGGTTTTAAATCCACTTGGAACTCATTTTCATGAATTGTGTGAGCTAGGAAATTAGGATACTATCAGTAATTTAGGAATTCTTCAAATTGGTAAAAGACATCTATGAAACCCTACACCTAACTTCATATGTAATGGGGAAATATCAAATGCCTTCCACCAAAAATATGAAACAAGACAATGATGGTACCATTTTTATATAAAATAATACTACAAGTCCTAGCCAGCACACTAAGGAAGACATACAGTTTGGAAAGGAAGAAATTAAATTCCCTATTTGTAGATGACATGATGGTTTATGTATAAAATCTCAAGGAATCTACCAAAAACAAATAAACTAACAAGCACATATTCCTCAAACCTTGAATTATAAGGCTCATCTCCTACGTAAGCTGCAGAATCTATAAAGAGAAATTTCTTTGTATTTCTTTATACAAGTGGTGAACACTTGGAAACTGAAATTAAAAATATAATACAATTTTAAATAACTTAAAAAATAAAATTCTTAGATATAAATCTACCAAGACATATTAAGAATGTATATGTTGAAAACTACAAAATCTTGATGAAAGAAATTAAAGATCTAAATAAATGAAGAAACATATCATATTCATGTACTGAAAGACTTGCCATAGCAATAAAGTCAGTTCTTCCCAAATGATACATAGGGTTAGCACAGTTTCTATCAACATTCTAGCAAGACTTTTTGTACATGTAGACAGTCTATTGTGCAATTTAAACGAAAATGCAAATGAACCAGAATAGCTAAAACAATTTTGGAAAAAAAAATAAAGTGAAATGAATCACTTTTCTTGACTTTGATTATATAGCTACAGTGATCAAGACTGTGTGGAACGGAATAGAGAACCCAGAGATAGATCAATACATTTATGACCCACTGATTTTTGATAAAGATGCAAAAGCAATTCCATAAAGGAAGATAGTATTTTCAAAAAATGGTGCTTTAGTAATTGGATATGCAAGGGCAAAAAAACTAAAACACAACAACAACAAATTTAACCTAGATTCCGGCTCAAGATGGTGATATAGTAAGATCCCGAACTCACTTCTCACAAACACATCAAATCTATAGCTACAGATGGAACAGTTTTCTCTGGGGGAAAATAAACTCTAAAAACTAGCTGAGCAACCCCTATACAAAGGGCAAACAAGAAAAAGCCACATAGAAGCAGATAGAAAAGGCTGATATAATCTCACCATAAAACCCACTTCCAGCACAGCAAACCACTGTGTGAAGGAAACTCAAAACCAGATCTTTGTCTTGAAGAGTGAAGTATTCTTACTCCACATTGGGCACCTCAGCTTTTAAGACTGGTATCTGAGAGATGAGACCACAAAACATTTAGCTTTGAAAATCATTGAGCCTCACTCCCACAAAATCTGCGAGTCTGTGGCAAACTGGGGAAAATAATGGTTTTTAAAGGGCTTGTGCCCAGACTCAATTGCCCCAGGCCCCAGTGCAGAAGCATCTCTTTGAAAAGTACCCAGACTATATAGAGACTTATTTGCTAATTTTAAAGCACTTCTTGTCTGGGAAGCACTTTACTTCTCTTTTGACTCTAAATGATAGCTTTGCTGGGTAGAGTAACCTTGGTTGTAGGTCCTTACTTTTCATCACTTTGAATATTTTGTGCCAATCCTTTCTGGCCTGTAAAGTTTCTATTGAGAAATCAGCTGACAGTCTAGTGGAAGCTCCCTTGAAGTAAATAACTGCTTTTCTCTTGCTGCTTTTAAGATTTTCTCTTTGTCTTTAACCTTTGACATTTTAATTATGATGTGTCTTGGTGTGGGTAGACCTCTTTGGGTTTATCTTGCTTGGAACTCTCCGGGTTTCCTGGGCTTGAATGTCTATTTCCTTTGTCAGGTTAGGGAAGTTTTCAGTCATTATTTCTTCAGACAGGTTTTCAATTCCTTACTTTTTCTCTTCTCCTTCTTGTACTCCTATGATGTGAATATTGGAATGCTTGATTTTGTCCCAGAGGTCCCTTAATCTCTCATTTTTAAAATTCTTTTTTCTTGTTGCTGTTTTGATTGGATGTTATCTTCTAAATTGCTTATTCAATCCTCTGCTTCATCTAATCTAGATTCCCTCTAATGTATTCTTTATTTCAGTTATTGTATTCTTTATTTCTGACTGGTTCTTCTTTAGGTTTTCTATTTCCATTTTTATCTCTACTATCTGTTTGTTGAAATTCTCACTGAGCTCACTGAGCACCCTTATAATCAGGTTTTTGAATTCTGCATTTGGTAGATTTCATATCTCCATTTTGCTTAGTTCTTTTTCTGGAGCTTTGCTCTGTTCTTTCTTTTGTTTCTTTGTCTCCCCATTTTGGCTGACTTCCTGCATTTGTTTCTATGTATTATGTGGAGCTGCTATGTCTCCTGGTCTTAGTGGAGTGGGATTTATGTAGTAGGTGTCCTATGGGGGCCCAGTGGCATAGCCTCTCTGGTCACCTGAGCTCGGTGCTCCAGATGTGTCCCTTGTGTGGGTTGTGTGTGCTCTTTTGCTATAGTTGAGCCTTGGTTGCTGCTTGCATGTCGGTGAAATAGATTGACCCTCAGGCTGATTTGTTGTAAGGACTGGCCATGAATACAGTGGAGAAGCTGTTGTTCAGGGGTTGACCCTACAGAGCAGGATTTACTTTAGCAGGACTCTGGTGCTTGCCCAGTTTGCCCTTTGGGTTTGTTATTTCTGGAGATGGTTGGGTGGTACTCTGATGTGGTCTGAAGTTGGCCACTGAATGTGTTGATTTCAAGGCCTCTTGGGCAGAGCTCTAGGGCAGGCCAAGTGTAGCCGCTGCTTGTGTCCTGCCCAGGGGCACTTGGTATGAACTACAAAGTGATCTGTATATGAATGTCTGTGCAGATCTGTATACGATCTGTATATGTTAGGCTTGGAGGTACCTGAGAGAGGCTAAGCTGTGATCCAAGGTTGGCTGACATTAGTGCCAGGTTTGGAGCTGCTTAGAAAGAGATACAGAGCACACCAAGGTCAAATGCTGCTTGTTTGGGGTGAACCAAGATAAGCCATTTGTATGGAAAAGCCATTGAAATTGGGTGGGGCAGTCTCAGGGAATCACCAGGGTGCGACAACCAGTGTTAGCAAGGTTGATGGAGATTCAGATATGGAACTCACCTGCATCTGCATGCTGAGATGGGGAAGACTCAACAAAGAAACAATGGCTTCTGCTATCACTTCAGGAAAGAAGAAGCTGCCTCTCCAGTTGTCACCCTAGAGCCAGAAAATTCAGTTCCTCCCTATATGTTTCTGGCATCTTTTGAGCTGCTGGCTCAGCAGTGGAGCTCAGAGCAAGTGAATCCATTAACTAGTAAGTCCATGTGTGAGCTGTTTAAGAGGACTGCCTGAAATTCCAGCAGTCCTCCATCTCTCTCAGCCACAATATCCAATGTTTCACATCCAGAAGTTCTGGAGATTTCTTTTCCTGGCACTGGAATCCCAGTGTGGGGTTGGGACCCTCGCTCCTCCAGAGTACCTCCACAACCAAGATATCCCTCCCAATTTTTATTTGCCACATGTGGGTATGGAGCCAGCTTGATCCACATCTCTGCACCCCCGCCATCAGTCTCAAGGTGGCTTCTTCTGTATATTCTTAGTTATAGGATTTCTGTTCAGCTACTCGTCAGGCAATGCTCAATGATGATTGTTCTGTACTTTAGTTGTAATTTTGATATGGTTGTAAGAGGAGGCAAGCACAGTGTTTTCCTACTCTGCCATCTGGACCAGAACTCCCAGGCATTCCTCTCAAAGGGCCCACACGTGATATTACTTGCTAATTGAATAACTGGGTATGAGCTCCATTGCTTGGATAACAGCTTGAAAAGTACCAGGGGCATATGGAGAGGAACCAAATTGTCTGGCTTCAGGATAAAAGCTGGAGTAGCAGCTCTGGATATGACAGAAGTGCTGGTAGGTGCCATAGTTCCTTTGCTGAGCCCTACCCCCACCCAGCATGCAGGTGGGTGCCAAGACTGAGCCTTCATCAAATTCTCTCCACACTTGAAATTCTCTGAGATATCACCAGACCTAACTTGAGCACAGGCTGAAACCTCTTTCAGCAGCTGTTACAAGGATCCAGCTGCAACTTCTGCTGTGGACTTTTCTAAAATCTCAGAAAGGTCCACA